TTTAAATATTTTTGAGATTTTGGGATTTTCTGGATTTTGGATGATCTTTGGAATTTTTGAATTTTGGTATTTTGTTTGAACTTTTTGGAGGCATTTAAAAATATTTGTGCACCCCTCCGGTTGAGATCTGCATTCAACACGGCCATTATCGGGGTGTTTGGGGTCATTTCCATTTGTATCTTGAACCTTGTCGACTCTGTCTAGCTATCGATAGAGGATCGGATTTCTCGTAGGCTTTATACCCTTGATAGTGAATTCTCATTGTTATAGGCCTTGAAGGCTTAATATGAATGTATTAAGACAAATATAACGATCGCCACAACCGTACATTTGTTTGTTGGTTCGAACCCTGTCGACTTCTATTGACCCGCGCAGCATCTCTAGACGTCACGTGTATGCCAATAACACGTTCGCCGGGGCCCATGCGGGTGTTTGGAGGCATTTCGTAATTATTTATTGAACCTGGTCGACTCCAACTTGCTTAGAAGGATCGGGTTCAAATTTAATAACCCGCGCAGCATCCCTAGACGTCATGTGTGTACCAATAACACGCTCGTCGGGGCCCATGCGGGTTGAGATTGTACTTTCCCCTTTAGTGTACCTATATGTATACAATTTATAGTGCACGTGCAGGGGTATTTATTTCAGACTTTATTGACGCCTTCTATCTGCTTGTACAAGGGTTGTAGATCCGACGGCGTGAAGTAGCAGCTTTTGAATGGAATTGTTTGCTGCTTTGCACAGGTAGACTGTCGTGCAGTACTTGTATGATTTATGAAGGTAGATTGTAGTGCACAAACGAATCTCTTGCTTTGCTCCGTAGGTGCTTGCATTTGTTGAATGTGTCCCATCTCTTCTCGTAGCGGGCCAATGTGTTAACCTCAATTGTATGGCTGTTGGCTACAAAGAGACTTTAGCCTTTATTGTTCATTATAGATCATCACCCGTATGAGCATTCTGGTGTATGTGGTGACTCCCTCATCATTAATAGTGATCATTCGTATTCGTCACTATCTTCTATCGCTTATTGTAGAAGATCTCCCATACTATCGATGCATAATACACAACGTATGTAGCTTTTCATGCAAGGGGGGATGATAGATTTATTGGACGTCGAATGGTGATTGATTATAGGAGTGCTATAACATCCACATCTATTGATCATCACCCGCCAATGTATATTATTGTGCATGAGATGCATTCTCCATCACGGATAGTAGATCCTTGTATTCACCACGATCTTTTATCTTTTTCCTATAAAGGATCCGCCACACTAATGATACATTCACTATTGTTGTTTATAGGTAGGATCATTATAAGAGCGAAGAGTTTCCCTGTAGTAGCTTGTAGGAATTTACACTTTAATATGGTCATTTCACATTCATAGGAATTTGCACTTGATATGTCAATCAACCACCTTCTACTTGCAAGGGATATGTGTTTGTATGGTAACTTAATTGCGTTCATTCACTTCTTCATGCATATTGATTGTCGTTGCTTGCAGGTTTGATTGCATTTGCTTGTGTTTTGACAGTGATCATAGAACATTGTCACATTCACTCCATTCATATCACTTGTTGACATTTGCTTGTACTTAAATTACATGCTGAATTTCTTTTGGTCACATTTGATTGCATGAGTCTTTATCATCATTTGGTGAGTAGATGATATTTGCAAGTTCTGTATTCACTACAAGTCTTGTGTACCCTTCTTTTGCAAGTCCTTGTTCTAGCTCAAGTCTTCATTGTAGTTTATTTGCAAGTTCAAGTTCTCATTTGATCAAAAATGAGTTCAAGTCCGAGTCCAAAATAAGTTCAATCAAGTTCTCTTATACTTTTCAAATTCACTTGAGTTTTAAGCTCATTTTGTTCAAATAAATTCAAGTCCAAGCTCTTTTTTTTTTGTTCAAGTCCTTGGATTTTCAATCCAAATTTCGGCAGCCTCCCAAAGTCTCCCCCGTTTAGTGGAAAAACAAAGAGGCCGCCTACCAGCCACGTCACTAAAGACATGCACGGTTGGTGTTGGTGAGACACCGCGTCGGTTGTATTTGTTTTTCTCCCACCACGCATAATAAAGGCGTCCATGGGGTTTTTTTAAACAGGATTTTTGAAAAGCATTTTTTTTATTTCCCCCCGCTCGGAGGTACTTACGAGCGACCCCGCCTCGCCTTAGGTGCCGCACCGGAGTCCCATCCCACCACACGCACCAAAGGCGTGCTTGGGGCGGTTTTCCGGTTCGCCACGAACATTGAAGTAGAGCATGGTTTAAAATTGCGCAATATGAGGCTCGCCTTGAGGCCCGCCTATGCGCAATTCCAGTAAAAAAACGCCTCGATGCTTACGCCTCGAGTTCTTTTTATGAGGCTTGCGCCTCAACTTGGTTGAGGCCCGCCTTGAAGCCCGCCTCGCCCCACTGGCATGAGGCTTACGCCTCACGCTATATATATTAAAACTTACATAAATCTTGAAGTAAATGTCCGACATTTGACTCTATAGAAGAGGAGAAAGGGGAGAGAGCAATTCACCATAATGATGATTCAAATGAAGAACCCCTTAGTGATTACAGTGCTGATGACTTATGAGTTCTTATGTGATATGTCATTGCTATTTATTTTTGGAAATTGGAATTATATGTTAATGAAAAAAATAATGGGATTTGGGAAAGATAGAATTTTGAGTTGAACTATATTTCATGTTGTCTTATTATTGAGATATTTTGATTTCACTTCATATCTTATGTTTTTTTATATTTTATATTATTCATTCATTTGTATATAAAAAAATTATCATTTTATGTTTACGCAATCTTTTGAATTTGAGGCTTACGCCTCAAAACGCCTTGAGGCTTACGCCTCGCCTCACGAATGAAAAACGCCTCAATACCCGAATACGCAATTTTAAACATTGCTTTCAAGGAATGTGCAGAATGCAGGATTTTCAGTTACAGTGAGTTCTATCTTGGTGATAAAGCAGGATACAGAGCTTTCATAGACCACTTTGGAGTGAGTAGTTCATGTGATTTGATGAGGCGTAAGTAAAGATAATGCAAAATAAAATTCACCACATAATCATGCTATCGAAGTTGAATCTCCACTCAGAAAACTACTGCATACTGTCCCCATGTGAGTTGATAATCACTGCAACTACACACTTCTAAAATAAAATACAAAACAGGGTTCTAGATCTGCTAGACCTTGATAGTCCAGTACTCTGAAAGAAGGAAAATGACACATTGGCTAATGGAGTTTAGCAGCCATAAAAATCACTCTGATTGCAGACTGGAACTTGCAACTTGGTTTCGTTTACAAGAAAATATAGTCATGCAAATTCCAACGGAGCATCTCGAGAGGTTAGCACTATGATCTTCAACAAAGAGGTTAAGGAGCACATTTCCATGCAAGTTTGAAAGTTTGGAACCTAGAGGCAAGCACAATACCAAAAATGCATCCAGAAATGGATAACAAACTCAAATACTTTGCATATAAAACTTTACAGAGTGTCTCTGTAAACAAATGAAATCTCACTTTCGATGGTAAAAATGTTATGCAACCTAAATTAATAAATGAAGTATGAAAAACACCACATAAAAGAAAAAAATAATCAATAAACCTGTTAGTCACTGAAGAGAAGGCCTTTTAGCAAAATAACAGACATTCAAGACAAAGCGCCTAACAATCAAAAAACATCTGCAAACATTGAATAAAAGAGAGGTAGCAGTTCATAAATCAAATACCATTTCTTACACTTGCGCCATTTTCACCATCAACTTTAGAATACTGAACAAAATGGTCATTTATGTCGATGTACACCGCATCTTTATCATACAGAAGGTCTCCAACACCAGACATGGGAGCATAAAAAAGTTTTTCTTTGTCACGAAGTCCTTTCTTTTTGGCAGCAGATGGCAAAGGGCAGGGATCAGCCAGGCTCGTTAACCCAGCTAAGCTGAAGTCACCAACACCAGCAATGTGCACCTGTAACAAAATTGAAGTAAAGGAAATAAATATTGGTATATAACACCCATAAAGCTAAGGTTGCATACACAAATGGCCAACATAAGGGAGTCCAAAGGAGACCAAGTCCTCACAGCTCTATTTGTAGATATAAAAGGAGCCCATATAGAACCTACTTTACTAGAAATTTTTTTATACAGCCATGGTCTACAATGATGATAAATAGCATTTAAGTCAAAAAATAAAATCATCCAAAAAAAATCAATCCCAAACAAATGAATATACTCAAGCAAAATCTTAAAAAGAGGAACTACGAGAAAAACTTTGCCCATCCAGTACATTATGAATATAAACTAAAACAATTGAAAACGGCTATCACTTTTCTATAATTGGCAAAATACAGTACCCCTACCCAATGCATTATGAATATAAGAAAATGGCTCACTTTACCATAATTGAAAAAAAAAAGCTATGAAACACGGACACTTACATGAGAAATAAAATGCGACATGACACGGACATAGGGGCACGGCATAACTTCTAAGGTAGAATATAAAACACTATGGATAGTACATTTTTTTATAAATTATTAATATAAAAATGAAATTAAAACACAGAATATCTATTTTTTCTATAAAAAAATATTATAAAATGAAATTTACTATCATATCTATCAAACAAAAAGCTTAGGAAAAAAAAACAATTATATATCAATATGTTTTCAAAAACACTTAGTTTTGAAGTACACTTAATCATCAATAACATAATAACATTACATTAATCATTTTGCATTACTTTATCAGTATCAAAATTATATATCCACAAATATTCCAATATATATGAACCATTAATGTACAGTTAATTGACCCAACACACTTGGCATCATGACCATCACCGCCATCAACACTAATATCCTCTGCAATAAAACCTTCACCATCATTGATAACAATATAATTTGCTAAACTAGCTCATTAATAAAAAATAACTTTGTCATCACATGCCCTAGCCATGGTAGGGTGTGCCTGATTGTGTCCAACTGCTACTAAAAAAAATTAGCATATTGAGCCGTGGTTTAGTTATGTTCATGTCCGAAAGTGTCCGCCAAAGACAATGAAGGATTTTTGTAGTGTATGTGCTTCATAGAGTAGTCAATAATACAAGACTAGTTGTAGGACAAAGGACAAGTCAACATTGACAATATATAATTCTAGTGGTCTACAAACTGGTATGGATAAACCTAAAAGTTAAATAAATACTTTAAACCCATGTAAACTTATGCTTAACTGCATATGATTTAACCTAAGTGGCAGCAAACGAAACAAAAAATTTAAAAAGGCTGCAGTATTAGAATACTTGAGTGACAATAGCATCAAGCCACTTTATCCTTCACATTCTCATTTTCATCCATTACTTCTTAAATGATACAACTATAAAACCTCATTTTGTGTGCTCGTCAAAGTTGTCCACATGTCCAACAATTTAAAATAAGGTTCAACTGGCTTGCCTACAAAATGCAGTAGGACTATAGGAATGAAGTCCAAGAGGAAAAGAAATATTTGATTGAGAATAGCTTTGAACCACTCTTTTTCTTCTCATTTCTATTTTCATACAGCACTACATGAATACCACCTATAACACCCCATTTCACACATTTAATCAGAGTCATTCACATGCCCAATTTTTAGTTTTGATCACCTTCTCTAACAGAATCAGTCGGACTAAGAACAAGGTTCAAGAGGGATCAACCCTGCACCACTTCGCAAGCCAATACCACAATACTGACTCATTTTGCATCTTTGTCAGTTGGATTAAAGAAAACTTCCAAGATAGTCCAAAGAATATTGCCCGAGTTCGACATCACTGCATGTTAAATGGATCAACTAAGAGCTACCAACAAGATCATTCCCTAGCAAGGCCACAGGTAATATTCCTTTACTCCAACTTATGTTAATCCTCGGACTCTGAAATTTTAATTTTTGTCTTGATTTCCCCGCAACCATCACTATGTACTCTAGCCACCCAAGAGACGTCACATTGTCATTTCCCATATGAGAGTAGCCATGCCAAGAATATTCCCTGAAGCACCGTATTGCCTTTTTTATGTTAATCTATGCTGAATCAAATCGCCTACCAATCTTATGTCAGTCATCTGGTCGTTTGATGCTTGCCATTTGGTATATGATCACTTTCTAACCTGCCATGTGGACCAAACCTCTATTGTTTCTAGATCCAGTAGCTTGTTAATTCAGGTCATTATCCACTCTAAAAACACTTCAAGCTAGTTAAGTTAAAAGTACTCCTTCCTCAGCCTTCTCAAGCAAGGTTATGCTATATAGACAAAGTCAAGCTCATACATTCTAACAAATTGTAGCCCAAGAGAGCCGGAAATTTCAAATTTTGAGAAGCTCTTTAATACTTCTTTTTTAAGTAGTAAAATCATCTCCATATTAATATAGTGAGCATAGCCCACAATGTCAAATAACTTAAAATATTGTGCGACATCTCTTCTTTTTCATCCCCTTTTTATTACTCCAGTCAATTGACCAAAAACTCAACCCTCAGTTTGCTTACCTTTGACCAAGCTTTTTCTTCGTTCCTTTTGGTAAAGTTACATAAACTCAAACTCAAATCACACCCACCACCGATCACTCCGACCATTTCTTGTCATTCCCAATACCACACACACAAATGTGAATCATGTGTAATAATGATTTGTTACATGTAAACCACTTAGAGAGTCTACTCAAACTTATAAAAAATACAAAATATAACAAGAGAGAAAACTCTCATGCGAAGCAACATTGATGCAAGACGACACGGGGTTTGGATTTTCTAGTACAACTAATATTGTGCACAGTATGCTTTCATGCAACAAAAATTTAGGAAATTGTATATCACAAGTTATCAATCAATCCAATAATTCACTTTAGATAATAGCAAATGATGGTAGTCTTTCAACCAAATTGACAATGAAATTACCATAAATAACTAATAATCTCAACAAAAAATTTGAAACATAAATCAATGACCAAGCAAATTACTTGTCACAAAATCCAATTTATTATGTATCAATTTTTTACCAAAACGAAGAACACTAAAGTAGCGAACAATAAATTATCAAGAATAAATAGTCAAAGAACAAAAACATCACAGTAGAGGAAACTAAGCCTCAAACTAGCATTAGGAGATCGCTTCACCCAAAATCACAAACACGTTTGAGCCCCGCTTGTAGGATTAACACATCCAACTTGTACTCATAAGATTGAAAAATAGAATAGAAATTTTATTTAATTCAAAAGTTGTTAATTATATGCCTCAAACAATGAAATATAGACTCATCATAAACTAAGTTAATATATAAGATTGACATTGACAGGATCAATCTCAATTAAAGTTTACATTAGCTTCAAAAGATAAAAATTTATACCTAAATCTAATTTTAAATTCCCATGGCATCCATACAAAGCCCACCCCTCATAACAACGATAAAATAACAATTTTTAGTGCTTTGCAGATCTTCTGGTTATGTGCTCCCCAAATCCCATAACAGATAAAGCCATGTTATCAACATTCCACATAAATCAGTAAAATACAAGAACCGGAACCACCGTTCAAAATATGGAATGACTTCAAAAAACATCACCCACTCTCTTAATTCAAATTATATTTCCACCAATAAAAGGAAATAGATCAGTCATAGAGTATAAAGTCAATCCATACACAACCATGTGGATGAATCCAAATTCCATCTCCCCCACATAGAATACAAATTCCATCTCCCACCAATTCCACATCAATTTGCCAATAACAACAACAACAACAAGCCTTAATCCCACTAGGTGGGGTCAGCTACATAAATCTTTTTTCTCCATTATACCCTGTTAAGAGTCAAATTCTCATTTAAATCTAATAAAGAAAGGCCATTTCTAATACTTTCTAACCATCCTTTTTTAGGTTCACCTCTATCTTTCTTAAGATAGGCCAAATCTAATACATCTACTCTTCTAATTGAGTGATCGAAAGGCCACCATTTTGGGTCCAAACCATCTAAGACGAATCTCTTTAATCTTATCTACCACTGTAGTTACTCCAACATTTTCACGTATATGCTCGTTTCACATTCTATCTCTAGGAGTAAAATCACTAATTCACTTGAGCATCCTCATCTTTGCAACACTTAACTTAATCTAATGCTTCTTGTTTAATGGCTAATATTCTGTGCCATAAAATATTGCAGGTCTCACCACCATCTTATGAAATTTTCCCTCAAGTTTTAGGGGTACTTTTCTGTCACGCAATAGACTCGATGCATTCCTCCACTTCAACCATCCAACTTGAATTCTACTAATAATATCCTCATCTAGTTCACCAACACTTTGAACAATAAAACCGAGGTATATAAAATGTGCAATCTTACTAATGACTTGATCGCCCAAACTCACAATCCTCCCACTAGATCTATCACTACTAAAATTATACTCCATGTATTTGGTTTTAAATCTACTCAAATGAAAACCTTGGACTCTAAGGTTGACCTCCATAATTCATGTTTTCCTTCAACTCTCTCTCTAGTCTCATCAACAAGAAGAATATCATCAGTAAAAAGAATACACTAGGGTACATCCTCTTATAAATGTCTGGTAAGAACATCTATGATTAAAGAAAAAAGATATGGGCGGCTTAAGTTGATCCTTGATGCAATCCAACTTATAGGTCAAACCACCTTGTATTTGAACACAAGTAACAACTCATGCAAAAATATCCTTACTGACTTAAATACAAGCATTATTAACTCATTTCTTTTCTAAAACACTTATTTTGGAACTTTATCATATGATTTCCCAAAATCAATAAATATCATATGTAGATCCTCCTTATTCTCTATATACTTCTCCATCAAATCTCTCAATAAATATATAGCTTCCATAGTAGACCTATCTGGCATGAATCTAAATTGATTTTGAGAAGCATTAGTATCACATCGTAATCTATGCTAAATAACTGTCTCTAGTAGTTTTAAT